TATCCTTTTGCTCTTTTTGAAGAAGGAAAAATTTAGGAAAAAGTAGTCTTGACAAAGCTAGTAATAAGCTTCTTGATGAATCGGAGGATATAGCTCTAGAAAGTTAGAGCCCCAATGAGGAAAGGTATTATTGCTGTGTGAGGTCGCACATAGGTACTTCAGTAACTGGGTGAGTTTTTATTGTATAAGGAGGAAAATTTATATAGTTTTTATATATTTTTTTTTGTAGTAGCCTATTACTATTACCTCTTATAATAAAGGCAGGACTACGTATTAAAAAAAAAAAAAAAAAACATAATAATTAGCTCAAATTTTATTTAATCTAATTGTTTATATTAAATCATCATAAAATTAAAGATTTTTGTCTATATGTTTAAACTGATCTAGCTTTACCAATATAGTTGTAAATAATTAATAATATCATCACTAGATATTTAGAAATATAAATATAAGTAGTCTTTATAGTTAAAAAATTTTTATTAAATCAATTTTTAGAATTAGATAGTATACTAGAATTTCATACAATTTTCTATTCAATAACATGTTTTTAAATTAAAAAAAAAACTTTATAACAAACTTTTTTTAAATAACAAAAATTTAATATTTAAAGTTCTTATAAATATTAACTTTATTAAATATACCAAGTAGTAGTTTATTTTTTACTTGATTTTCTAATTCTACTTTGGCCTTATCTTTAAGGCTAACCTGTGTTCTCCTACTTAAAGAACCTTCATTATGTCTAAAGTTTTTTTTATAAAAGCCCAGAAGGTACTATACATATATATTCTGTAGATAAGAGTATTTAACTCTTCTTCAAACTACCTTTTTTGCTAGCTTTATCTTCTTGTATCAGGAATATTAAGATGTTTTAATAGAATTTTACAATTACTACAATGCAAACTAACTTATTTAATAATAACTTTCTTATAAATATAATATCTGGATCTTGTAGATTCAGAAGAGCACTCAGGAGAATATTTGGAGAAGCACTTGGGGAAACATATAAAGAAGAAATATATAAAAGGAGAACACTTAGAAAAATATATAAAGGAGAAGCACTTGAAAAAATATACAGTATAGTAGAGTACTCAGAAGAATATATAGTAAAGCACTCAAAAAAATATATAATAAAGCACTTAGGAAAATATTTAGAATTGAGAGAATATTCAGCCTTAGGAGAATATTCAAACTTAGAGGAATGTTCAGACTTAGAAAAATATTTAAACTTAGAAGAACATTTAGTCTTAGAGGAACATTTAACCTTGAAAAAATATTTAGTCTTGAAAATATTCAAATTTGAAGAAATATTTAGTTCTAGAGAAACATTTAGACTCAGACTTGAAAATATACAAGTGAGCTTTTAAAAGAGTACTTGGAGGAACAGTACAAAAACAAATTAAACTCTTTTAATTTAAGTTTAATATATTAAAATATCTTGAAATTGATTATCTTGATTTTTAGATTTTTTTAATCTAAGCTTTTATTTATATTAGCTAATTAGATGTATATATGTATATATTGTTTCTGTGTAATAATGCAATTAGTTCACCTTTGACCAATTAAAATTTAAGATTAGATGTAATATGATAGTCAAAACAAATATGTTTTGTTTTTTAAAAAGTTGTATATACTCTCTTCTGCAGATCCTTGTACCAAAATCGAGCTAAAGACAAACAGTCAAAAGATAGTAAAATACACTACTAAACAGTACTTTATAAACTAAGAGAAAAGAAGTATCAAGGAAAACCAACTAAAGTTTACTTCTAGTCTGTCTGCCAACTGGTTAAAAACATATAGCTAAAAAACTGCTCTTTGGAAAAATTTTTTTTACAAAAGTAAATTTTGGGGAATCAGCTTTGACCTTGTAATGTAGATCACTAAAAACAACAAACAATCACGTAACACGCCTGTAATTAGAGTAAGCAAACAAATAACAATGCAAACACATGTCACGTGCAAATAAAAATGCCACCACTTATAGAATATAGAAACTTTTTCTCCATGTCAAGAGAGGAGAAACTTGCACTTTATAGTAAACAAGAGCCAACAATGCTAAAACAAGACAAATTCGTAGTAGAGTATCTTGGAGTGAATGATGTTTGTCTTATTGCAATTATTCATATAGTTATCAAAAGATATAAATAGGCAGAGAGTAAAGAGTTTAAGTATGAGTCTATTTCAGATGAAGAGAAAACCCTGCTAGAAAATATAGTTACTGCAAATAATACTCAAGAAGAATCTGACAGAAATAGCTCTATTCTGATGGATATTGTTTCTATTAAGCCAATTACCCTATTAAGCAATTATGGAAAAAATATACTAAACAATGTCAAAAGCACTGCTCGTAAAAGATATCTTACTAAACATGAAGAATCAACCACTTTAACTAACAATAAGCTGGAAAGCAAACAAAGCATGCTAGTACAAATAAAGTCAGCATATTAGATTATGGGTTAGTTAAACCTCTCTTGACAGACAAACACAGCAGTTTAAAAAGTGAAAACAGTAAAAAAGTTAAAAAACATGAAAACATATTTAACTCAGTATAGGCACCCGAAAAAGATTTTATTCCAAAAGAGTATATAAATGAATCTTCTTATTTCTTTACACTCTGGGAGAAACAAGCATAGCAGAAATTAAAAAATTTCTTAAGTATTTTGGTATAGCATCTATTCTAGCTTGGCAATATAACTTCACAAGCAAGGTGGCTTTCATTAAAATTAAAACATTTGCTGAGGAGCAAGAAATCTCATTAAGAGAAAACTGGTCAGTACATTTTGACCAAGGCAAGACGTATAGAGTCACACCAGATAAATTTGATATCAGACTTCTAGAAGAGCGAAACAAATTCAAAACTATTATATATAATGTACTATCAACAGCATATAATAGCCTTTTACTCTGTCAGCTAAAAAAATACAGAGTACAAGCAGTATATATACTAAGGAACTGAAATGGTAACCAAAGCAGAAGAGCACAATTGTATTTTAAGTCTGAGCAGGACCTTTTACAAGCTCAGAAGTCGACACTATACTATTTTAATACAAAATTAGAGTGGAGATCACATAGTAAAAAGGCAGAAAGCAGTAGTGTCACGAGTATACAACATTCTCAAGGTACTAAAAAACCCTGAACAAACTCAAGTAGACCCTCTTGGCAGGTGAATCCAGAAAGCAAATAAGTTAAAAAAACCTTAAAACAAGATATCAATAGGTATGAAGATCTAAGGCCGAGATTAATTGAGAAAAATCTAGTTCTAGACAAAAAAAACTTAGATATTCAATCTAGAAGTATAATAAAGCCGCTCGAAGGAAGCATAAATAAACTGAAATGCAAGTTTACGGGAAAGAATATTCAGTCTATTAATATGCAACGAAAAGGCAAAATAGCAAGTATTGACCAAGAACAAAAAAGATTTGTAGAAGGAGGTAGTAAAAATAAAGTAGATCATGTTGATCTATTGTAAGAAATTCTTAAAAGACTAGAATCACTTAAAGAATATTAGAATAGGAGCAAAGCCCCCATGCGCTCCTAAGAGGTGCCACAGGCACCACATCAATTATAGGTACCCTGAATAGTAGCCAGGTTCGGACATAGCTAGTACTATTAGGAACTTTAGAATTTGCTAACCAAATCAATATAGCAACATACAACATTAATGGGCTTAAGATGTATAATCATAGAATAGAGCTTTTGTTAAAATGGGCAGTAGAAAAAGAATACAACATAATTGGGATCACAGAGACAAACCTGCAAGAGCAGGAAGCAGAGATTGTGGTAAAGGACAATATTAACTTCAAAGAAATATGGTCGATCAGTTCAAAATCTAAAAAGAAAGGCTTTGGTGTTGGCCTTCTAGTGCGAGAGGATATAAAAAAGCATATTGGCAGAATAGAGAAGCCAAATAGATATATATTAATAGCGTACTTTTATTTTAAGGTCTACAAGTTAGTAGTAATTCTGGTTTATATTCCCCCAAATGAGATGGAGATGATAAAAAAGATAGATACATTAGTTTGAGAAAAAATAAGTAGAACACAAGATAAAGATCTTGTAGTCATAATAGGAGACTTTAATCATACAGTAGATCCAGTAGTAGACAAGTCATCACAAACAGAGAATCCTAGAAAACTAGCATTATATAAATGGCTTAAAGAACATAATTTTGTGGATATATACAGATTGCTCAACCCTTACGAAAAGAAGTTCACATGAAGCAATAATACAGTTGCAACAAGAATTGATCAAATTTGAATATCCCAAAGCATAGTAAAAAATAATATTAAAGGCTAATATTGAGGACATGATAGCGATTACAGATAGTGATCATAACTTAGCATTTGCAAAAATTAAATAGTATTTGCTATCCCATTTAAGTAACCACCCATCCAGAAATATACCAAGTATAAAGCAAAGAGTGTGGAAGCTTAACTTAGCTATAAAAGAAAATTGGAACAGCTATCAAACGAGTCTGTAGAGTAGACTAAACATCAAACAGCTAAAATTTTTTAAACAAGAAACATTATCTACAGACCCATTAATATTAGAAGAGTTAGAAACAGATCTTGATGAAATATGAGAGACTATAAAGAGTGCAATTTTACTAGCAGGTCAGCGCAATCTACCAAACAAGATAGTAGATTTTGAAAGAAGAGTAAATCGCAAAGGAAAAAAAGTAGATTTTTAAAGGCAGTATACTTGCTAGGCAAAGTAATTAAAGAAACTAGAGTAGCAAACAGTATCAAGCTACAAGAAAAAATCGCAGATTGAAATAGAAGAATCAAGTGAATAAACTTATTAGCAGATAGCAACATCAAAGATATCAAGATATTAGAAGATGGTATATGGCAGACAGATGCACTTATGTAGTGGAAAGCAATCGAAGGCAAGTTAATAACAAGCAGTGAGCAGAAGAGGAAAAAAGAAATACAAGCATATATTCAAAGAAGAGCAAAACAAATTGTAAATGATCAAAAGAAAATGCTAAACAGCCTGCTAGAGTGGCCATTTTACAAAGTAGTTTTGGATAAAGTACTAGTACAAAATCAAGACCAAGAAATATTATTAAATGATCTGGTAGAAGTTTTGGAAGAAGTTCAAACCCACTTCCAAAAGCAATTTGTAGACAAAGAAAATAGTTACATAGAGGTTGAGAAACTTTGATCTGATGAGCACCAATCAAAAAAGAGAATCCAAAAGTCGTGGTTTGATCCAGTAACGCAACTGATTATATTAGAGAAGTGGCAAGCAATGTTAAAAGAAAGTAAAGCTAACTCAGCCCCAAGAATGTCAACAATTTCATACCCGCTATTGAAACAAGCAGATATAAGGTCTCAACAAGTCTTTAAGAACTTTGCAGAACTATATTTACAAGTTGGCAATATTCTAGCTAAATAGAAAATAATGCAAATTTATTCCATACCAAAAGGGCAAGATTGGGGATTTAACCTAGATAGAGTTAGACCAATTGTATTAATAGAAGTATTTAGAAAATATGTGACAAAGATACTAATGAAGAGACTAAACAAAGTCATTAAAGAAAAAGATATCTTACATGGCCCTAACTTTGCAGAATTACCTGGCAACTCTACTGAAAAACCAGCTTATATACTAAAAATACTTATCAAGGAAGCAGAAGAAAATAAGCAAGAAATCTGGCTACTATTTCAAGACATGAAGAAGGCATTCAACTCAGTAAACCTAAGCATGTTAGAAAAAGCCTTAAGAAGAATTAAAGTCCCAGACAGATGCTGCAAATTTATCCTAAACCTATTTACAAACAGAAAGTTAAAGATTATAATGGCATTTGAACTAACACAAGAAGTTTTAGCAGAAGAGAGTATTGATCAAGGAGAGGCTATCTTTCCCCTACTGTGAAGAATCTTCTATAATTCTTTGTTAGACCGAATACAAAAAAACAAAGAGTTGGGCTATAAAATCGAAATACCAAAGCAATACAAAGAGCTGCTAGGAACTAGAAAGGAAAAAAATATAAAACAAGCAGTTCTCGCCTACACGAATAACATGACATGGATTGCTAGCTCCAAAGACTAGCTTAAGCAAATAACCCAGATTGCAGAACAGTTCTTTCGATTAAATAGCATAGAAATTAATAGTAACAAGTTCAAGCTAATCGCACTCAACTCAAAACTTCCAGTTAAAGAAAGACAAATAGAGTATGGTGAAGCTGTAGTAGAAGTAGTTAAAAAGCTTAATGAAATCTGCTTTTTAGACACATTCCCACATATTACTAAAGAAATAAGCAAGATAAAAAAAAGAGTAAAGCAGATTGTGGGCTTGTTTGCATACAAATTAGAAAGAAAGAAAACTACAGCAAGCCAACTGGAATATATAAATAATCAGGTTCTGATTTCAAAACTGGATTATATCCTACAAACGGTGGCTCTATCAGAAAGAGAGTTGTATTTAATTTACCAACCCTTTCTACATTTGATAAAAAAGAAGCTAGGTATTGCTCAAATAGTGCCAAATAATATACTAGTACATAGAGGGACACTAGATATTAAAATACTAACAGGAACAGTTTTAGCAAAACAGGCCACATCTCTTTTTTAAAAGACTTAATAGCTCTGGTACAATAGAAAGCCTAACCAAAGTACAAATTAGGCAAAGAATTTTAAAGAACGGCATAACACACAACATTTGGCAAGAAAGAGTTAACGAAACATGCTCAAATTACAAGAACAATATCACATTAAATATAATCGAATAGTGTAAAGAAATAGATATAATATTTAGGCCTGAAGAGGAGGGCTGGTATATCCAAGGTTCGGGACCTACAATTATGAGCTTGCTAGATACTAAGCAAAAAAGTAAAAGTAGAGATGCACAGGCAAAACTAGGTGTATATTATGTCAATCAGTTGCTCGATCCCAGTGGTAAGAACTTGTTAACATGGCAACAAGTTAGAACAATTAAAGGTTTTAATAGCTGCAGCAAAACCCCTTACTGGTATATAGCTATCGAAGAAGCAGTTCTGAAAAAAGCAGAAGAACGAAAAGTAAAAACACAGTTCTATCTACAGGAAACAAATAAAGAAACTCTTGTTCTCAGACTACTTAATATTCACACAGACAAAAGAAGAAAAGATTGAATCTTGTTCGAAGGGAAGAAGAATCAACTCTTGTTTGGCCAAATACAAAAGAAGAAACATGATAAAATACTTGTTGAACATTGGGTAGAATCAGGCCTAATGAAAAGTGGTACTTTGGTAAAGTACTGTCAAGGATGTGAATATAATGCAAAGGGCAAAGAGAACAATTGTATGCTAGAAATAAAGCAAGACAAAGTACTAGGAAGAGTAGAACATGTATCAAAAACCAACAATAGTATATGCATTAAAATTGCACTAGAAACTTACAGTTACTTCAAGAAGGAAAGTAATATAGCAGAGAGCCAACTTATAGATACAGAAAAGTTAGAGGCAGAAAGCATCGAGTATATAAAGAACCTTAACCTTCTAGCAAATATCGTAGCTTTATTACTTGATAGAACAAAAATGAACCTTAAAAGCAAAAAGAGTAAATGCATATTCTATACAGATAGCTCGTAGCTATCAAATAAACATAATAAAGGAGAAGAAGATAAAATGGGGGCAGGCTGAATCCAGGTTTCCATAGATGAAAAAGAAGTAGTGTTTATAGGCAAAGTAAAAGTAAGGGGAGTAACAAAAATCAGGTGATTTTTTGGGGGGGTAAAAAAAGTTAAAATTATATATAAAGACCTGATTAAATATATAA